ATATATATGTGTGTGTGTGTGTGTGTGTGTGTGTGTGTGTGTGTGGGGTGGGGGATGTGCAATTTGCAGGTGAATGAAAGGTGTTTTGATTTAGAACAGCTCACTTTTTATTAAGTGAAAAGTGTTTATGAATAATGTTTAAAATATTTTGCCGATGTTGATGGCGAATTGCTAAATGTGTAGGGGGATTTTATTCCAAATGATATCCCGGTGGTATATTCTATTTTTGTGGATTTTGTAATTCAGGTGTGTTTGATCAAACCATACAGCTATAACATTTTATAGCTCCATGATCAAACTAGCTCACAAACCTCGGCACCATCGTAGCTGCCTATATAGGGACGTCACTCAACGTCAGTACTGTATATAACATGGAACAAAATATTGTTTAAAAAAAAAACTGAAATGATAGAAAGATGTAAATCTGAGGAAAGGATTAATAGCAATCAAAATCACTGTTAGTGGCCGGGTTGCTGTGAAGTGGAGCATTGCTAACAGTTCTATAGGACAATACAGTTTCCCAAGTGAACTGTAGCATTGACAGTACTGTAAGGCATTTTATTTTCTATAAAGAGATCAGTGGCGGGTTCCAATATAGACCAGGGATTTCAGCGCCACCATACTGCTACAGATTGCCAATTACAAACAAAACACCCGCATAGGCCTACAAATTAGCAATAAGATTTCCAAGCTTTGCAATTATATTAATTTGTTGAACGACAGGCCATGGATGGATGAAAGAAAAGCTGCTATTGGCAGTCCTTTATGCTCAAGTGGCTCTATTCCTTATAATTTTAACTACTCAATGGATATGATAGAGTAAAGTTGAAATATGTAAACTTAAAATGAATAACGTTGTTATGTGAATGAACAAGAGCGGAGCTAATTCATATGGCGTTCTAAAATAAATTAAATTATATACTTACCAGTGGTATTAACGCTTTTGAGAAACAAATTGTATAAATTTTTACCAGTAGACCTATGCGGAAACATAGTAATCTTGATAAGAAAACAACTTGTACTTTATAATGCATGAAAGAATAGTTTATAATAACACTTTTCTTATTATGTGAACCATAACGAACCAAAAGAGGATCTAAAACGTAGGTAGGGCCTACACAAATTCAGCAGAAGAGTGACGCAAAATGAACGAACAAAGTAATTCCACGTCACAGAAACTGTCAAATCTCGCGACACTAGGAATGTTACATGGGTTGGTGAAAGCAAGGAGGCATAAAAATAATACCTCCTGGTGAAAGTGTATGTCAGAATCAGATATAAGCTATCCCTATACCAATATTCTTTAACCTATTATTTACCTCAAATTGTGATTGATTTGTCATTAGGCCTAGGTTTCTTTTTGTTATACTGATGATCACTGTTGACAGTCGAAACATGCATTGAAGAATAAAATCACCCAAATCAGTATTATAGGAAACGTTTTATTTTCAATAAAGGAACTCATGACTCGCGAAAAAAATCATGGAATCGTCTAACTTTAACCCATTATTTAACGCGACCTTACGTAAGTGCATCAACATTTTCTTAGATCACCATCGCTCTTTCGGGGAGGCGGCAGTGGGAGTGCATTTATCCACGTAAGTATCTCATTCAACCAACGATATGGTCTATTTCGTGAACACTTACCTAGATGAATAGGCCTACTAGTCAGTAAGCGAGAAATATTGAAATAAAGGTGGAACTTACCAAAGAGCCTCGGCATCTGAGAAGACATCCATTCAGGGGTGGCGCTAGTGGGGAGGGGGAAGGGCCCCGGCCCCGTCGGGGAGAAAACCACAATTCATCGAGGAGAAAAACAAATTTATATGTATTTTCCACACAGTACCGTACGGTGTTACGCAACCATTCTGGGCCAGGGAACCATTTCCTAGGCACGGAACAAATTTGCGGACCACTCCTCGCCTCATATAGGCCTACTAATATTCAAAGTCATTACTTAGACCTATAACGTAGTCGAATCATATTTTCTTTGTTTGACATAGGGAGAGCACCAATTATGCCAGTCAGTGGCGTAGGTATAGGCAGTGCAGCCAGTGCAAAACACTGGGGCCTGAGGATTGGGGGGGGCCCATTCAATAGGCATATACTTTAGATCTAAAATATATTTTTTTAAATTCCTATTTAAATTTCCCCTTAATAATATCAGGTTTTAGAGGCCATAATTATAGATTATATTCATTACAATTTACCACTGGACACTGCAAGTAGGATGAGTTTTTACAAAAACTAAAAAACAAAAACAAAAACAAAAAACAAAAAACAAAAAAACATACCCATGAACAGCTTCGTATCTGTTGAATAAAATCAAGGTTATTTTCTTCCATTAGGTATTTACGTATACTTTGCTTCATCTGACTGGCATCAGAAGAAATTGCTCAGATGCTTACAAAAATATTTAATCAATTGGGGGGGGGGG